CAGCCATACAGGCTTATTTTTGCGGAAAAATGTCTACTGTCCAGCCCTGATCCGTCCAACTATCAGGCGGCAACGAGCAACATATTATCTTATCTCACATATAGATACGCTTAAATAGAAATATTGCATGTTCACATAGTTATATGTCTTGGCCATTGCTGCATGTCATATCGTGCCGATATTTATACACACATATTCGCTCGCATCCCTATCACACCCAGATGATTCGATAGCATAAGACGTAATCAATAATGGCATGTTAATTGATTACTACCGTTGCTATCTGCGTTTCTATTGCATCTCCATTCCTAAGAAAACAATTTGCTCGTTATCATTTCCGGACTGCGGATCGTGCATCGCACAGAAAGTTCGTCAGCGAACCTTACGTGGCCGGCTGGCACCACCCCAGCGGTTGCTATTATCGCCGTCAAGCAAAAACCGTTCGAGCAAATGTCGCTAAGTTTTACTTCTTCTGCTACAGTGGAATACGTTTGCCAATCTGGGAGTAGATTAGGCTGTCAATAGTCAGTGTCGGAACTCGTAATTCTGCAACGGAGTCGACGAAAATGGGTTGTGGACGAGGCGCAGCAAATCAGGGACGGCCCCGTCACCGTTGACCCCAACAAAAGTGAATCTAGCATATATATGCGAGGAGATAGATAGAGAGGGGGGAGGGGGGGCTGTTTGTGTACACATGACCCCTACGGATGCTAAATGTCATGTCGAGGGGCGATGGGCGATGGGCGTCTACATTTAGAAGGAAGAACGATTTACAAGAAAATGGATTTGTAGCTGACAGACAGATGAACGTCGTCATATTGTTGACCTGTAATACGCGATATAGCATGGGCAGTGAGTGACTAGAGATCCACATAGTCACGTTGCATACACTTCATTCGCGCCGAAAGTTGACGAGGCAATGGAATAACTCGCGAACCTAGCCAATGTTTTATCAGTGATAGTGAACGCCATTAGCAGGCCATTGTATAAAAATCCATTAATAAGCCTGAATTGCACCGTTGCTGATAAGCTCGTGCTAAAACCGAAACGAGAAAGGTGGGCAAATCGTCTGATTTATGAAACGGGACATTTTTAATAAAGGGACATAATTAGCTGTCACATAAATTAAATATATTCTGTTGAATTAAACGTAGCTAGCTAGAGTACTTAGAACTTTCATTCATTCTGTGCATTGTAAAGGAGTATGTTATGCATAATAGAAACAATAAAGTTCCTTACAAATCAATGGAACCGACATCGACGTGTGCTCATCGTTATTGTAACTAGGACCCGTTTACGAAGGCGCAATAGACGCGGCTTCTGGAACGATGAGCAGATGAAACCTGAAATTAAGTACGTACGTTCCATTCGTTTGCACGACGATACAGGAAGCGCTAGCAAAATATTATAGAAGTGTAATGCGAACATATCAAGTTTTCTTTTCTATTAAGTTTTATTTCTTTTGAAGGTACAGGATAAATACATTTACACACTGCTGGATCACCCGGAACTGCTCCATCTGAAACTTCGACCTGCACAAACGGCACATCACTACCGAGGCTCCGCGAGTGGACTATAAATTTTCCACGTTAATTTTTGTAGCTCTTAGCTAGATAGAAGCTAGGGACAGAATGGAAACTCCAACTGAACAACAATTTCAAGCTTCACGCCTGCCAATCAGACGGATGGCCCCCGGCACAGGACAGAATGTGTCTACACTTAGCTTGTTGTTATTGAAGCGTCATAAGTTCAACTTTCGTGGCATTGTTTATCCTTTTAACAATAATAAGACAATAATATCGAGACGTTCTAATTTCGAAAAAAAATCTCATGCGTCTTTCTTAAGAGCAGACGATATTGTACCGAAATGCCGTGTTTCAAAATGAAGTAAAATTTTCTATAATACGCACGCTCGTTTAAATCGAGTCGCGTTTATCGGATCGTTGTCAGATGACTTCGGATGCACGTACTTGAAAAGAGAGCCGTAATCATTTTTTTTGCGATCCATTCAAATTTAGAGTTCTTTCTTGAGAAAACAAAAACGACAGGCAGTACGAACAAAAGTTATGATAGCTCATGATCATAAAGTATATTGGCTAACGGCTAGCGCGTAAAAAGTTGTCAAACACTGCGAACGATGAAACATGGCGGAGCAAGTTGTTAGCACGCTCAGAAGTCGTCCCCTGGAACGTCTAAGTTCTCGACATCTGCGAAAAATCGACGAATCGTCCGTTCGTGTCGCGCGAATTCTACCGACGATTTGGTTGTTTCTATAATAATGATAAGCAATCTAACCGCTATGCACATATTTACTGTGCATATATACAGCAGAAGAAGAAAGCTGTTGCATAAAACATGATCAGGACTTATTCGGCCTACACGTTAGAGATCGCAGCGGCAGCAAAACAATACGAAACATCCACAGTTGGCGCGGTATGGAAAAATATTGAAATATAAATGTTCAATAAATCATAGCTCGAAACGAATGGTTCGTGAGAGCAGATGTGTCTCAGGCATCGATCGATTGTCAGATCTGATCTCTTTGATAGCAGTCGCTGCAGTAGCAACCGTCATACCAGAAGCAGTAGCAAGATACGAAATAGCTTGACCGTAATTCACGGGTCGCGCGTGAAACCTTTCGCGCGCATAAATCAGCTACCGCTATTAGGCGAACTGAGACGGCCTGGCCGTTGGGCGGTCGAGTCTGGGCAAAATGGCGGCGACGGACGCATCCGAGGGAAAGCTTTCTTCATACACGTTTCGGCTCTTAAAATTTTCAGATTTACACAAAAGGACCGGCGACCAAATAAGAGCATTGCACTACGCAAAGTTCGAAGCACTAGAATTAGCAGAAGCAGTAAATAATGATTTCGTGTCGAAATGAAGAAAACGAAAGGGAAGAACTAGTGATGATCCAAACTTTTTTTTTCTGGAAAAAGGTAACGCTAGTTGAAATATGTGTGCTTTGCAAATTAACAAAGCAACGCTGAAAGTCGGACTGGATCTGAAAAGTTCTTGTTCGCTGAAGTTCGAACTTTATTAAAGCGATCATATCGGGGCTCTGCCATTCAGTCGATGGCGTACCGATCACTTTGGGTACACAAATGAAACTTTACACATTGGTATTTCTGAGTCAAAAAGTGGGTACGCACGTTGACAGTTTTCTCTGGGATAAAGGACCTGATGCTCGACGCTTGTCGGCTAAGCTTTGTGGGTTCGAGGCTACTTCGTGCATCGGCGGCCACCCTTGATGGCGCGGGTTAAACCAAAAACGTCTTCTCGGTGCTGTTATCTACCGGAAGACTTGCGGCGTTCCGTCGAAGTTCTATCAGTATTATTCGTAATAGTTCAATAAGCACATCACTGTTTGTCTGTGATAGCATCGCTAGCGCCAGCTAGTCTGAGTCGAGCCGAAGATAACGCTGATTGCCGTCAACAGACCACGAACGTTGATGAATATCTCGTTGCTTATGGGCGGTCTATTTTTTGCTTGTTGGGTCCAACATCGAATAATCGCAACTTTGTTGCCGCATAAGCATTAAGATGAACCTCTTTAACGTGGGCAGAGGGAGCAAGTTAAATTGGAGTGTAACAACAACTACATCTACCGGGCAAATCTTCCAGCCATCTTCCAGCAACTGTGTGTGTGGGTACGCATCGGGGATTTTTTCTCTCGACAATCTTATTATTATGTGGCACTGTTCCCGATGTTACTCCATGCGGTCGGTTATTTACTAACAGTTACTGTAGCAGTGCAAACGGAGCGCCTCGATGATAGAATCTCTTCCCGCTTGTTGATAGTAGATCAAATAAGAAGATCAAGTTGATAAACTCAAACCGATTGTTGCACTAGCTGCGGACTTAATAAGTTTGCGAAGAACTTACTCAGCTTCGCTCTTACTCTGTGTTCGTTTTTTCTAAATACGAAGCAAAAAAGCCCTGTTTGAATGCTGGTGAAAATAAGGTTAACACATTGATCAGATCTCAATAGAAGAGGACGCCAGTGTTGCGGCTGGGTAGAGTTAGTATGATGAAAGCCAATTTTGTGTGCAGAAACAAGAGGAGCTCCTGAAGAACTCGTCACGATATAGAGGTATGCGAACTATTTTGGAAGTAATCTATACGAGTAATTTAGTCGCACGGCATCATTCAATATTGCCCTCGACAATTCTGTTGCTCAGCGACTTCTGAAAGATGTTCTTGCAACATCTGGCAAAGCTTTTATGGTAATGATTTTTTTTTTCATTTTCAGTAGGACAGATTGAGTGAGCACTACTAATGAGCGGTGCCTCGACCGGGAAGCGAATCGCTGTTCGAAAATTTAGGTGCCACTCCTCCAGGTGAGCCGGCGCACGGCCGTACGATTACACATGCTGCTGACGTGATCCAATAAAGCATACAAGTTACGCCTACCAGAAGCAATATTTCCTTATTGAATAGTAACAGTACATAGATCATCTTCAAATATCTTTCGTTCTTTCTTTGACTAGCATTAACTTAAAATCGTCAAAAGAAAAAACAACTTTAAGCAAACTGATTCTGAAGATTAAAACAGATGTCGAACTTCTCCCCCCCGGCCCCCGTCCCCCATTCTTTTAGGGGCCGGCACACTTTTCGATTTTCGGTCTACGCCATTTAACAGCAAAACATTAGCGCCAGTTCTTATTTGACTTTTTCGCTATAAACGTCAATGTTTAGCGTGAACTTCAGCGACCGGCAAAGCTGGTAATGGAGATGCTCAAGCGAAATCGACAACAACAAAGAAGTTGCTGCCGCAAAAAATATCGGCGATCATCATGTCAACTATCGAAGCCATGACAAGAGTGAGAGACGTCTGGGCCCCGGCATGCTTCCCTCAGCCGACCGATTACGTTCTCTCTACTTCCTGCGGTAGTCGGCGTCAGCGTCGTCCGCGACGTTAGTTGGCCTCGCGTCGAGGGCGAGGGTCGAAGAAGAGACTAAACGCTGCCAGTTCTCTGCCCCCGAAGCGACCCTCACACGAAGCCAACTACATAACGGCATCGCGGGAGCCGCGCAGTCGCTAAAAGTGAAAGTTTTTCCCGGGTTTAGGAGTTCGCCGCTGCACGACGGCGTGTCAAGTGAGACGATCGGCAACGAGCTAACCGAAAAAAACATATCTTATTAGTGAGATACAAGAGTTTTATTCATCGTCGTTTGTGGTCATCGTCGCTAACCTGAGAGCCACATTGGACGGTGAGTGACACTCGTGTGTTCGTGAAGAACTGTGCTCCTTTCTTTTGTTCCTGCTGAAGATGCGAGCCCAGCTGGTTGGAGCGGTGCTCGTGGCCATAGCATGGGCAATTCAGGCACAGGACTTCTCGACTACCATTCGCATTCTGAAAAGCAATGATCGTGTAAAAATTGGTGGTCGCTCGTACAAGGTAAAGCGCACAAAAAGCCATACTTTTGTATCAGATCGAAACGGATCCTGTGTATTTGACGGTCAGCTGTTTCGGCATGGCGGAAACGTTCACAGAGAAGACGCTTGCGATAAATGTATGTGCTTTAGTGGGGATGTCCTGTGCTGGAAGACTTCGTGTCCCCCAATGAAGGTAGCGAAAAGTTGCCGCGAAGTGCGCCGCGCAGGCATGTGCTGTCCACTTGTCGAATGTGACCCGGAAGTTCCCCTGAAAAACAGCAAACATCAGGGGTTCACTGCAAAGAAACAACGACCATTTGTTGCGTTGCCAAGCAAAGCGAATCGCTACCAGGACATTCAGTGCGAACTAGATGGTCGCAAGTTCCACTACGGACAGATTGTTCCGCAGGCATCAGGAGCATGTATGGAGTGCCGCTGCGGTCTCGAAGGGCAGCTGAAGTGCAAAACCCGCAAGTGCTATCTCACAGGCGTTCTAGATCTCGCAAAGGTAAGCCCGAAGATTGGATACGGGCTGCAGCTGAAGCATTCTCATTGATTCAGTATCATACTCAAGATGCTTTAGTTCTACGAAAAATCGACTTGCCCTTAATTTATTGGTCACAACGTGTCTTACATTTAGGCAATTTCAAAAATAGCTGTTACAAGTACTACATTTTTATTAAAGAGATAGCTCAGCAGTTACAATGGTCTAGACGGAATTTTTTCTTTGTCATGTATCTAGCTTGATGAAATCAATGCAGATTGTGTATCACTGTTTAGAAACTACCCTGTTGTTGCTAAGCGACGCCCAGAACGCTTTATTTTTTTAAATTTGGTGTTAACGTCTTAAGGCCGAAACAGCTTTGGTTGGCAATGACTACATGCAGGACTTAACGTTCTGTCGGTTGTACGTCGAGTACGAGTTACGAAAGGATTATGGGGGTCAGTTTAGCAATGAAGATTCACTCCATCATAACTTAATTTCAGTTTGCCAAAGAATCAATATTGACAACAATTTTAATACTTTTTAGGTGGCAAGGGTATCGCAGAATACGAAGGTGGCCTCAAAACCTGCTGTCACGATCCGCCAACGGGATCCCAACCTATCATCTTCCTAATGAGAGCTGTATTGTTTATTGAACATTTTGCCTTCTGAAGGAACTCTACGCCAATTGTTGAACTCAAATGCCCCGTTGCATATCGGACTTATGGTGAACAATTACAGGCTGCGATTAAGATGAAAATTAAATATGAGCGGGAGTTTTTTAAACGTTTGTGGTTGAATAACGTCGTTTTAATGATTAGCAGTTGTCGCACATTTTTTTACCTCAGGGGAAAGACTATCATGTTTTATAAGTGATTTATGCGGATATATATATATATGTATATATATATATATATATACATATATATATATATGTATATGTATATGTATATCCCAGAGTGAAACATCGGTTGTATTTATATTTTATTTATTTATTATTTTTGAATGAACTGGAAAGGAAACAAGAGAGGCCGAACGCAAAATGGTGCGAACGAATGATTGTGATGCGGATAGACGCGATGAATAAAGTCAAACCGTATTTTTCAATTAAAGCTATTTTTTTATTTTTATGTATTTTAAGATCTGCACAATGCTATTCAGGATTCGGCCTGGTTATATTTTTTTTTTAAGAAATAACAAACCAAAAATTTTATAGTTTCATGTCATAATCATTGCGGATCCACGCGTGCGCATATCTGTTTTATAAGTTATATAGGTAGATTTTGTTCTATAGGCAGCTTTTCGGTTCTTGGGTGGTTCTTGGCTTGGAGTGCCTGACTGCTTCCAGTCCTGAAGTCAGTTCGGACTTCAACACCACAGAAGCCTTAAAATGCGCGCGTTCGGGTTTGTAGTTACGCAACCTCAGACAGAATCACCTAAATAGATCATAATGATCAACTTGTTTTGCCATCGTTTACTCGGATGTTAAAATTGAGATTCATGACTATTTTTTAGGGTCCAATAGAAGACAAACACATAGTCCTGTACTATGTCCGACTGATAACATGTTTTCCTGTAGAACTTTAGAACACGTTGTGGTCTGGGTCCGATTTCGACCTTAACTACACTTCGTTTCGCGCTGGGAGGAGACACCCGTCTGATAGGATACTTTACAACTCGAATGTCGGAGGTTAAAGCAGTTAGTTCGATGCTCCAATTTTTTCAGCTGTTGGCACGTTTTAATTATAAGGAAATCTATTAATTAATTGATTAATTAATCACGATAATTGTAACCCTTGCTTGACTAGCGCCGCTGATAGCTTTATTGCGTGTAGAAAAGTTTTAACTAAGTTCCGTTACGTGTGTCGTATAATTGGAACGCTTACATACAATGTTTACAATCAAAGGTAGAATAGATTAGATGGATCGATATATTAACGATGGATAGGAGTTGTTGATTCCGATGTTTACCTCTATTGCGACTACGCGTAAAGATGTATTTCTGACGATGTACACAAGCTATTATAAGCCAGGTTACACAGCTGTTCGACTAGAAGTTGCTGCCTTGTTTTATCAAATATAAATCATTTGTCATTAGTTGTGTTAGCCTTTAGAATACCAATGATATACATGGTTAACTAAAACGTACCCCCCTCTGTACATACATATACGGCGTCTACGTTTTTTCTTAAAGCTACTTTTCCGACAATCCATAACGCATCAGGCATTTCTACCAGTTACTTCCTGTCTCGCAGTTTGAATTCAAGTAGAACAAATCTACAAAACATAATCGATCCCGCGCTTCAACGGCAAGAAGAGTCTTGTCTAATATCTGGGCATATCGACTCGTGACCCAGTGATAGTCGTTGTTGTCGTTATTAACCCCATATCCCTTTCTCGGCTACTGCTACTGCCCAAATCCAGAACAGTACACACACGGGAGGCACTAACAGCCACGAAGTCAGCAGGCGATCAGAGCATAAATTTCTCCTTATCGATGCTGTTAGTTGCAACTATTCAATATAATGCGACGACTGCAAGACCCAACTCCACCTGGAGCTACTGGTCGGACGGCCAATTGAGACTTCCCTACGTACGAATATCGGCTTTACGAATATCGTTATGGAGCCGCGTAGCAGGAGAAAATGCAATGGGTCAAGGATCATACAATGTCAAGAATTCGACTCTCCTCGCGTCTCCCAGGGATCCGATAAATATGTTGGGATTACGTTTACAGCCAAGCGCAGACCCGTCTCGGCAAGGCAAAACGAGCTAGTTGCCAATATTGTGGTTGATGGTGGCATCGATACCGGCTACAGAATGATCAGAGACGGCTTTTTTCGCTTCGTCTTTTTCTCGTCACCGTTGTATTTTTCCGATTTGTTCTATTTTGTTGCTTTTCGGAGTGCTTATCAAAGTGTGGGTAGTATATCGCACGAGGACTGTTGTAATAGTAGCTCTACTATTATTCAGTGAATAAGCACCAAATGATCCGGACGGACGTGCCGTTTGTGAGGAGAGGCGGGAAGCGCGCGTAGCACCGCCACCCGCGCCAAGACAAAATCCATAAGCGCGTAAAAGAGCCATTGTGCGAAATAACAGTAGCACTAGTAGTACAGAGTAGTATGGGGGGTTAAATGAACCCCTAGCAGCTGTCCACTATGCCGGCACGGTCTGCGCCAGTCACGTCTGCTAGCTTTCACTAGAATGCAGTCACAATCGGCACGACCATAATAACAACGACGACAGTGGTCGCGACGATGCCGGCAGCATCAACAACACCGAAAGACGCGACGGCGACGGCGACGGCGACGACGTATCCAGTACCTGCACCGGTAAGCAAAACGTTTGTTTCCATTTTGTGGTTACTAACAGCAGACGCAGAAATCGTATCGTTGCTAGCTGAATAACGGGAGGTTGCAATCTGTCTGCCGGTAAGTCTACGTGTCATGCCGACGTCGTAATTGCTTCATCTTTTCCGTAAACATCGTCGACAGCGTCATCCTTTTCTAATAGTGCATATTGAATGGAACTTCGTCCAAGTCAGGAATCGTCGCCTGCGCTTGCGGCTCACAGGAAGGTAGCGATGATCACGTACAACAGGTCTATATTAGCTAGACTTCGACTTACTCGACGCGATTGAGTTATAAATGATCGTTGATCGGTAGAAAAACCATTGCTAATCCAAAGTTACTATCATTTACTTATGGATTTCGCTTTCAGCTGTAGCTGACAGGCGCAGTATTTTGCGAATGCTAGCGTCGTATGGATTTTAAGACGCTAGAAACAGCCGAGTTGTACGCACATTTTACGTAATAGATATTATGTATGTATGTATATGTAAAACATTACTGTTCAAAAATAAATTATTGAAGAACTTAATCTAAGTAAATTAGATCAATTAAAATGTCCAATTTCTTGTTACATCTAGATGAGATTTCTATGTCAGTATTGTGCGTCCTTATGGCCATAGATCTAGCTAGTAAGGAGTGCGACTTGATGGTGTATCACTGCATTTTATAAAGAAAAAAAACGGCGTGAATACGCAAGTAAGTGTCTCAAATTTTTATCCGCCGTTATTGAATAATAGTTTACCGCAACGAGCTCGTTAAATAAATGAAGTTTGATATTATGCCACGGTACAAATGAAAAATTAACTTAATCGTTTGTCGGTATATAAAAAGGACATATTTTTAAAGATCCGCATGAAATTTGTTTCCTTTCCAAATCTACTACGATTCTTCTATATGCATAACTATAAACATCTTAGAAATGTACATTTACGAACTTATCTCAACGTGTTGAAATGTGATGTATGTACATAGAATTGCAGCATGTCTTTTGTTACATATGGACACCGATAGATTACGTATCCCACACAGCCTCGCTGTACAGTCTTTGCAAACGAAGGCTAAGAATTAGCAGAGTTCGTAACAAACCTTGCGTTCCGAGAAACGTGCCGCACAACTCATAACCGAAGATGTGGCCCATTGAAAGGTAAAAACAATAGATCATTACCCGCTATAATTTGTCATATGGATTCTAATAGCTAGCAAGGGCTCTTAAATCTTCAAACCCATTACGATTTTAATTATGGGTCATTACGGTCGCGGTTGAAGGAAACAACAGTAACAATAAATACTAAACGTATATTTTAATGTCATCCTTTCTCTATCTGCTGGGTCGAGATTCCTACAAGATACAAATGTAAGCTCCTACGCTCCATTTCTACCGAACACATGCAGATAACAGTCACCCAAAAAACATTTCTCTATAGCTGACAAGTCATCACGAACAGAGGTTTCTGGGCCTAGGGTACCGCAGCTGCGATCGATTTCTTTTGACTCCTAAACCACTACTTAATAATCTCAAATCCCCTTTGAAGCTTAATTAGACAAATTCTACTTGCTTGACAGACTGAATCATTGATCCCATTGCGCCGATGAATTTATCTTCACATACGCTATACGGTCGGCAATAAAGAGACCCTTAAAAACAATGTAAGCCATAATAGTTCTAATGTGAGCAATAACTAGAAGTGAGAAAAAACATAAAAGAAGGACGTCGTCGTTCTTACACACAGAAAGAGCAAAAACACATACTGACACCGTCCGACGATCACAGATATTCTAACCATGTTAATTGCAAAAACCTCCACCGAACTCCAATCAGGTGTGCCATCAAAGTGTCTATACACTGCCTCATACCCTCGAGTAGTGAACTCACAATGCTTGTTTACGGCCTCGTGGCGTAGAGTGTTTCTGTAAATATTGTTTTGAACAGTTCTGTCCGATGCGTTGTATTCGTATCACATTGAACATAGGGAGATCGCTAAATATCTCTGATCATCTTCTCCTCAATGATGCTATTACAGCAGTGAAATCCAAGTTTGATCATAATTTTGGAACTGAAACCTATGCTATATAGGTTTCAGTCAAGCTTAATGTGACGGGCTAGTTTTGACGGACATGATTCATTCAGAAAAAATCTGATTTGTCTGTTCCAGTTCTGCCAACGAGATGGAGTTTTACAGTTTCCGTGAAAAGAAAGAGCTATTTTATGTAGCACTCGATGATTAAATGATATACGATTAAACGATACGCTAGAAAAGCTTTGTGACCTTTATGATGGTAGATGAAATTTAGAGCAAGTTGCGAGCTTCTGCACATTGCGTCCTATCTGCGCGTAATGGCCTAACCCAGAAATAGATGAATATGCCTGTTGCGAAAAACTCGTAGAGATTTAAATTGAAGACAAAGCAAACTGAAGTTGTCCATGTTTTTACAGCCGAGCGAATTTTAAACATAGCCATTGTTACCACGTTCATGGTAACGTGTAATACTCGAAAATCCGATAAGAAAAGATAATGTCCACTTTTAAACGCTCAGAATGCGAACATTTGCCCAGATACGCACCCAGTAAATGTTGATCTCCAATTAGATTAGCAATTCCTCTAGCGCCAAGATCCGCACACTGTAGTACCGAGTTGACCGCAACGGCATTAAGAAGCACTTATTAACACTTTTGTTATTATATACAAAGTATCGTTACGCTTTTGTGTGTTTGACAATTTATCAGATTC